TTTTCTTCATAAAGTCATAGCCATGATTTTTGTCTGCTTTGTTGACTGCTGTAAGACTACTACCTTGAATAGTTCCTGAAGGGCATGGTAAGTTCTTAGTAAATGTTTGCTGAATAAATGAGGGCTTGTGTTTTAGAAAACAGAAGAAAGTGATGCTAGATGGGCTATATAAAAAGAAGGCAGAACTTCATCCTTTAGAATATAGTGCACACATATTTATTTGGAATTGTCCCCAGGTAAATAAACATCCCTCTTCCTGTTTTGTTCATCTTCACCCTCTCATGTACGTGCCATTTTTACCATATCCTATTCTATATGTTAGAAAATTTATGAAGCCTCAATGTGGAAAAGAAAGAACTAGAGTGAGTATGAGGAACTGGGGGAGAGTCTTAATATGTTGGCCTGAGAAAAGACTCGGGATTTTTCTTTGTACCAGAAGGACTTGTTTGAAAATGCTAAGTTTTCCTTTGTTGTTTCCTTAGTCTAACTGACATGTGATGGTTGTTGTGAGGGTGGTTTGTTCAGAGATAACTGATTGTTATTGACAGTCCTTCCCAAGATTGAGCAAAGACACTATTTATGATAAAGAAAACAGAGCCATGTGTTTTCTCTTTGCACATTTTCAAATAAATCTTCCTAGTAAAGAGAAAGCCTGAGTCTTTTCTCAGGCCAACATATTAAAATTCTCCACAGGTTCATCTTACTCATTTTTGTCCTTTTATTTTCACAGTGAGGTCTCACATATTTTCTAACATATCTAATGGGATATGATTTAAAACATCTACACAAACATGAAAAGTTTCTATCTGAAACTAAAATCATCTGTGAGAATGGTATGCTATACCAGTAATCACACATGCCAAGATGAAAACATAACCCTTGAGGCAGCTATTGCAAAGAAGCACTGCTAACAAGTGTCTAAACTGACAGTTGTCATTTCAAATGTGATGAAAAATTTCAGTTCTTTCATACAGAATGTTATCCAACAGAATTTTCAGGCTTCCTCGCCTGATTGTTGAGTGTTAATCTCTGTTTTGTTTTGCCTTTTTCTTTCCTTTTATTATAAAATTTTCATAATGTCCATGAATTACTTTGTAAAGATCAAGTGATGTCATAACAGTTTTATTACATAGACAATACAGGAAAGACTTGAAATAGTATTGTCTGACCCTTGCTGTCAAGCACCAATGGTGTGTCTAATAGAGTTACTTTTTCCTCATCCCCTGGGCTTTTCCCTATTGTTACCTGTGAGAAGTTGGTTGCCAAAAATTATTATCTTGATTCCTAAGTGACTTTTAAACATGAGGCTCCAAATATTCTTTTGTTTTTTATCTCTATTCTATTATAGTTGGAATATGTAAAATAATAGTAACAATCTTTAGTGCTAAATATATCCAGAAACTTGACTATTATTAATCACCTGCCCATCACAAATCCAGCAATTTATGCTTTGCATTATTGCATTGTGCCTAACAAGAAAGCAAGAACACATCTTCTGTGTTTTGAATGACAGATACCTTCTCATGGAAAAAGTCTATGCCGGAAGCTCAGGTACTTCAAGGCCTTTTCAGAATGAGTGTGTTTTCCTGAGAAAAATCTCTGATGCAGTGTCACTGTCCCATCTGGGCCTTGCTGTTAGCACCTAAAACTGCCAACAGATGTCATGCAATGACCTCCAGCCAAAGGGTAAGTATGAGCACATCTTACTCTACTCATGTTCATGTTCTTGTATGTATGCATACAAGAAAAGATGAGTGGGAAATATAGTGATGTATTTTTTAATAAAAGTTTTAGACTTAAACAATCAATGTTGAATACATATGCTACCATTTAATGGAATTATGACCATATTTGTTTTAGAAATATTCAAAAATAAAATTCCTCACAAATAGAAAGAGATAGATAAATAGATAGAGATAGATAGATAGATAGATAGATAGATAGATAGATAGATATGGATTTTTAAATTAAATATGTGTGCTGGTTGGTGGTGGTACATGCCTTTAGTCCCAACAATCAAGAGGTAGAGGCAGGCAGATCTCTGAGTTCGAGGCCAGCTTAATCTACAAAGCAAGTTCCAAGACTCCAAAGCTACAGAGAGAAACCCTGTCTCAAAACACCATAAATAAATAAATAAATAAATAAATAAATAAATAAATAAATAAATACACACAAAATATCAATAAAATGACATTTTTATTGAGATTTTATTATTCTTTCTGGTCTATGGAAATTAAATATTCAAAACATCACTTAGCCAAGATGAGTATTATGGGATTTGTAACTTTACACATTTGTTCAAGCCTGAATTGAATCATATATTTATAATTAAAGATAAAAGATAGTCTAAATACCTAAGCAAGGCTGAGTTCAATACCAAAGAAGATATGGAGGTAGGTTGAGACTGTAGAAAGAGGAAGACTTGCCTGATGTGTGGGCTTGTAATTTTCAGCACTTAGGATGTAGTAGCAAAGGAATAGCCAACTTGAGGTCATCATGGGCTAGACAAGTAAACACCTATATAACATACAAAAATATATATAATATAGATGATGGTGATAGATACATAGATGATAGATAAAACATTGATGATAGTTAAATAGATAGACATAAATAGATAACAGATAGATAATAGATGATAAATAGATAGATGATATACAGATATAAATAGATGACAGACTGATGATAGATACATACATACAAAGATAGATAGATAGATAGATAGATAGATAGATAGATAGATAGATAGACAGATAAGCCCAGTGAAAGGCTGAGCTGATGACAATGGATTTATCAAGTGGGTGTAAGTTCTCCAGTGATCATAGATTGGGGCCCAGGCAAGTGGTGGTGCTCAGTACACGTGGGGCAGTAGTATCAGGAGACAGTATCACTCAGACAAAAAAAAAAACAACAGAAAGTAGAAAGACATTGTTCAAAGGTATACAAGCATGTGATTCAAGACTTTCTGAAGCTAATAGTTTCAGCAGTACAGTTGATAAGAGGAATAAGACCTAATGGTCTAAAGACTGTAATGAATTGAGATTTCCATGAAAGCTCATGTAGATTTTGAAGGCTCCCAAGAGAAAGGAATGATCCTTGAAGTGATAAACGTGACACACATGGCATACTTAGCTGAAATGGTCCACTAAACCCCATAAATATGAATAGTTGCTATGTTTCAGTTGAATATGCAACTATATTTTTAAAATAACTCTCTGATGTTTCAAAATGACAGGTAAATAGTTTTATCTCAAAGTCAAGTAAAAACAATATGAGTTTTGAAAGCATAATTTATAAACTAGAAACCTGTTAGGATCTATCAATAAAGTTGAGAAAACTTTACCTTAGCCTGGCTGATGATTTTAACAAATAAAAAGTCTCTAGCTTCTGGTCTTAATTCTTCATGGAACAAAATATTGAACAAACATAAAGGAAAATTTAGCTTTATTTGGTGTTTTTAATCTCTCTCAAAGGCTCAGACACTATACATGAGGTAAAAAGTAATAATAAACAAAGAAATATTGCATAGAAATGTTTTTAGGTTTTGTAAATGATTATTCTATTAAGACAGTTGAACCATCGTAAGTCTTACCTGTGCCTCCTTTCTCAATCATTGTGGTTTAAACAAAAAGAAAGAAAGAAAAGACTACCTTTGTTTTGATGACCAGTAAAAGACACTTGTTTGTGACACTGTGGCCGTCAGTCAAGTATATTACAATGATCAGAGGCCAGTGACTACGATAGGACTCTGAAGACTGACTTGCCACTGAGATAGGAAAGAGTGGGACATGCTTTACCTCTCCGTGCCTCAGATCCCCACTTGCAAGTGCACATAGCACCATAAGGCGTCTGTATGTATTGCTTAGACTTTTCTTTCTCCCTTTATCTGTTTGCTTGTTGTTTTGTTCCACTCTGGTTTGTTTTCATTTTATCTTATTGTTTCATTGTTATTATTGTTTATTATTATTTATCATTTTAGATGTTTACATGTGTTCTAACGAGATAGAGAAACAATGTAGGTGAGAAAGTGGGGAGCATATGAGAGGAGTTAAGGAGGGAAAACTGTAAACATAATATGTATTTTTTAAAAAGATGGCTCAGTGGGCCGAAGATTCTTGCCTCCATGCCTGAAATCCTGAGTTTAATACTTGTGCTCACATGGCGGAAGTAGAGAATCAAGCACCACAAGTTGTCCTCTGTGTGTGTGTGTGTACATATGTGTATATATGCTCACATATTATATTATATTATACTATACTATATTATATTATATTAATTATATTATATTATATTATATTATATTATATTATATTATATTATATTATATTATATTATATTATATTATATTATATTATATTATATTATAATATACTTATATAATGGCACGTGTGTACACACACATACACACAAATAAAAGCATACATATATAAATTTAAAAATAAATGAATAACGTGGAAATAATAGGCCTCCATACTTAGAGGTTATGGTTACTGTAAGGATTGTGGTAATACATACACGGCACACTTAGAATACTGCTTGGTCCATGTTGAAAGATATATATTTGCTTAATTGTTTATAATGAGTTAAACCACAGAAAGATATGCAATGCCACATTTTAAGTGAACAAGATTAGAAGCTAGATAGTAACAGCTCAAAAACTAAATAGCTGAGAGAGAATGCAGATCTGAAGTGAAGGAGAAGCGTGGTCGGGGAGGGTGCAGTTTGTAGTGGGAATGTTTTGCAGGTTTCCTTTCGTTTTCCATAGCTTGTTTACTAAGCGTGCTCTCGCCTGCACACCTAACTAAAACCATGAATATATATGGACACATGAGCATATATCTTCCCACTCTAAAATTCTTCACATTAACAAAAAAAACACACAGGCATTGGGTTAATCGAATATTTATGAGAATGCTCATCATTAATGATTTGCATGGAATTCTACAGTTCAAATGTCCCTGACATCAACATTTAGGTTTGGAAATTTTCTGACATTGGTGATGAGAAACCACACTTCAATTACAACATTCATCCTCCTGGGACTCACAGAAGATCCTCAACTGCAGGTCTTGATTTTTATTTTCCTACTGGTCACCTACCTATTGAGCGTAACTGGTAATTTAACCATCCTTACCCTCACAGCAGTGGATCCCTGCCTTAAAACTCCCATGTATTTCTTCCTCCAAAATTTCTCTTTCCTAGAAATCTCATTTACAAGTGCCTGTGTCCCAAGGTTTTTATACAGTATTTCAACCGGAGACAGAACAATTACATACAATGCATGTGCCGCTCAGTTATTTTTTACAGATCTCTTTGGGGTAACTGAATTTTTTCTTCTGGCTGTCATGTCCTATGATCGCTATGTGGCCATCTGTAAACCCTTGCATTACATGAGCATCATGAAGAGCAAGGTGTGCAGAGCAATGGTAATCTCCTGTTGGCTGGCAGCCCTCATGGTTATCCTGCCGCCACTTAGCTTAGGCTTCCGTCTGGAATTCTGTGACTCTAATATCATCGATCATTTTGGATGTGATGCAAGCCCTATTCTGAAAATATCATGCTCAGACACATGGTTAATTGAGCAGATGGTAATAGTCTCCGCGGTACTGACCTTCATCATTACTCTTTTGTGTGTAGTCTTTTCCTACATATACATCATCGGGACAATTCTAAAATTCCCTTCTGTTCAGCAAAAGAAAAAAGCTTTTTCAACCTGTTCTTCACACATGATTGTGGTTTCCATCACCTATGGCAGCTGCATCTTCATCTACATCAAACCATCTGCAAAAGAAGCAGTAACCATTAATAAGGGTGTTTCAGTGCTTATATCTTCCATATCACCTATGCTGAATCCTTTCATATATACCTTAAGGAATAAACAAGTTAAACAAGCTTCTCTTGACTTCCTCAAGAAAATTGCATTTCTTTTAAAGTGAAATGTGCCTAAGTTAACAAATCAAAGCATCCTCTGTCCTAATATTTCAATACAAATAACATGCCGTATACTTTCTCAGACTACTGGTAATCATGTTGACCTCATGCATTTTGTTCATTGTGGTGTTTTTGTTGCTGCTGCTGCTACTGTTGCTGTTTGGCTTAAGTTGTTTCTTTGTTTATTTGTTTTGAAACAGTGTCTCACCATGTAGCCCGGGCTGGCTTGAAACACACAGAGATCTGCCTGCCTCTGCCTCCTGAGTACTGAGATTAAAGACATATACCACCACACTCTGATCCTCTTGGTCATTAATTTCCCATTAATTCAATTGCCAAGAAAATAAACACTGAAGGATGTGACATGTAAAATCTGTCACTTTTAATCTTTTAACCATAAATAGTCTCAATAAAATCATATTTTCCTTATTTTTTTTGGTCCTTTTTTAAAAAAAAAATTTATTTCCTGTCACTGAGTTCATAGCTCTCTGACAACTTCCTCCTGGGGGAGGGGAGTGCAACCTAATAGGCTAGGGTCAAATAGAAGGGGAGGAAAACCTCAGAGGAAGGGAATAGGGGGAGAAGAGGGAGGGAGGGTGGGATTGGGAGGAGATGAGGGAGAGCGACACAGCCAGAAAACAAACTAAATAAATTGTGATAAATTGTAATAATTTAAAAACAACAAGAAAAAATCAAAATAAAAGAAAGAAAGAAAGAAAGAAAGAAAGAAAGAAAGAAAGAAAGAAAGGAAGGAAGGAAGGAAGGAAGGAAAATTTATTTTCCCATCAAGTATTTTATTTTCAAAACTTTATTATTTTTAAAGTATATTTATTTTATTATTTTTTACTCACCTTATATCCTTGTTGTAGCCCCGCTTGTTATCCTTTCCTAGTCCCATTCTGCCTCCTTCCCCTTCCCCCCTCCACTTTTCCTCAAAAAAGTGGAGCTCCCTTTCCCATCCAGCCCAAATCATCAAGTTGCAACAGGACTGAGTGTGTCCTCTTCCCTTGTGGCCTAGGAAGGGTGTCCCTGCAGGCGGCAGTAATCTAAAAGCTGGCAAGTGAGTTCATGTCCAATGCAGTTCCCACTTCCCTTACTAGAGGACTCACATGAGGCTTAAGCTGCCTATTTGCTGGACCTAGGGGGCCTAGGTAGAGTTCCTGCATGGTTTTACTTTGATGCTTCAGTCCTAGCAAATCCCTCTGGGCCCTGGTTATTTGGCTCTGTTTGTATTCCTGTGGAGCTCCTGTCACTTCCAGATCCTTTTCTCTTTTCTCCCACTACTCCACAAGACTCCCTAGTATCATCCAGTGTTTGGCAGTGAATCTTGGTATCTGTTTTGAAGAGCTGCTGGGTAGCTCCTCTCAGAGGACAGCTCTGCCAGGATCCTGTCTGCAAGCGTAGCAGAATATCATTCACAGTGCCAGGGGTTGGCACTCTGCCACAGGATAGGTCTTTGGTTGAGCCAGGCATTGGTGGGGCATCCCTCAGTTTCAGCTCTGTCTGCTCTATCTTTGTGCCTGCACATCTTTTATTACTTTTGTTTTTATATTAATTACAGTTTATTCACTTTGTATCCTAGCTATAATCCCTCCTTCATTCCCTCCCAATCCCATCCTTCCTCTCTCATCTCCTCCCAAGCTGGAAATATCCCAGATGCCCCTCAGTGGAGGAATGGATGCACAAATTGTGGTATATCTACACAATGGAATATTACTCAGCAATGAAAAACAAGGAAATCATGAAATTTGCAGGTAAATGGTGGGATCTGGAAAAGATCATCCTGAGTGAGCTATCCCAGAAGCAGAAAGATGCACATGGTATATACTCACTTATATAGACATATAATATAGGATAAACCTACTAAAATCTGTACACCTAAAGAAACTAATCAAGAGGGAGGACTCTTGCTAAAATTCTCAATTCCTATCCAGAAAGGCAAAGAGGATGGACATCAGAAGAAGGAGAAAAGAGGGAATAAGTCAGGAGCCTGACACAGAGGACCTCTGAAAAGCTCTGCCCTACAGACTATCAAAGCAGATTCTGAGACTTATGGGCAACCTTTGGGCAGAGTTCAGGGAATCTTAGGAAAGAAGTGGGAAACAGTAAGATCTGGAGAGGACAGGAACTCCACAAGGAGAGCAACAGAACCAAAAAATCTGAGCACAGGGGTCTTTCCTGAGACTGATACTCCAACCAAGGACTATGCATGGAGAAAACCTAAGACCCCTGCACAGATGTAGCCCATGGCAGTTCAGTATCCAAGTGGGTTCCATTGTAATAGGAACAGGGACTGTCTCTGACATGAACTGATTGGCCTGCTCTTTAATTACCTTCCCCTGAGGGGGAAGCAGCATTACCAGGTCACAGAAGAAGACAATGCAGCCACTCCTGATGAGACCTAATTGACTAGGATCAGAAGGAAGGAAAAGAAGACCTCCCCTATCATTGGACTTGGGGAGGGGCATGCATGCAGAGGGTGGAGGAAAGGAGGGATTGGGACGGGAGGAAGAAGGGAATCACAAGGGGAATACAAAGTGAATAAAATGTAATTCTTAAAGAAAAAAATGTAAAAAAAAAAAAAGAAGTGATAAATATAAAAAAAGAAAACACAAAAGAGGGAATCATGGAGAGGGAGAATTTAGGAAAGAAAACAGGAACTGTAGAGGTAAGCATAACCAAGAGACTACAAGAGATGGAAGAAAGAATCTCAGGTGGGGAAGACACAACAGAAGAAATCGATGTATTCATCAAAGAAAATGTTAAATCTAAAAAATTCCTGACACAAACCATCCAAGAAATCCAAGACAACATGAAAAGACAAAACCTAAGAATAATAGGAATAGAGGAAAAAGAGGAGCCTCGTCTCCAAGGCCCAGAAAATATTTTCAACACAATCAAAGAAGAAAATTTCCCCAACTTAAAGGAGAGGCCTATAAGCATACAAGAGGCCTACAGAACACCTAATGAATTAGACCAGAAAAGAAAATCCTCCTGCTACATAATAATCAAAACAGTAAGTATACAGAACATAGAAAAAATACTCAAAGCTGCAAGGGAAAAAGGCCAACTAACATATAATGGCAAACCCATCAGAATCACACCTGACTTCTCAAAAGACTATGAAATCCAGAAGGGCCTGGACAGATATCATGCAGACCCTAAGAGAACACACATATCAGTCCAGGCTACTATATCCAGCAAAACTCTCAGTCCTCATAGATGGAGAAAACAAGATTTTCAATGACAAAAACAAATTTCAACAATACCTACACAGAAATCCAGCATTACAGAAGATGCTAGAAGGAAAAACACAACATGCAACCCAAGCAAGCCAACAGCCAATATCAAACTCAAGGAGAGAAACTTAAATCAGGGACAAGAATGCCCTCTCTCTCCATATCTCTTCAACATAGTTCTTGAAGTCCTTGCTAGAGCAACAAGACAATTAAAGGAGATCAAGGGGATTCAGTTTGGAAAGGAAGAAGTCAAAGTATCACTATTTGTAAATGATATGATCATATACCTGAGTGACCCTAAAAATTCTATCAGGGAACTCTTACAGCTGATAAACACCTTCGGCAAAGTGACTGGATACAAAATTAACTCAAAAAAATCAGTATCCCTCCTGTATACAAAAGACAAAAGGGCTGAGAAAGAAATTAGGGAAACTACACCTTTCACAATAGTCACAAAGGACATAAAGTACCTTGGTGTAACCCTAACCAAGCAAGTCAAAGACTTGTATGAAAGTCTCTAAAGAAAGAATCAGAAGAAGATATCAAAAGATGGAAAGATCTCCCATGCTCATGGCTTGGCAGGATTAACATAGTAAAAATGGCTATCTTACCAAAAGCAATCTACAGATTCAATGCAATTCCCATCAAATTACCAACACAATTCTTTACAGACCTTGAAAGAAAAATTATCAACTTCATATGAAATGACAAGAAACCCAGAATTGCTAAAACAATCCTCTACAATAAAAGATCTCCATCCCTGATCTTAAGCTGTACTATAGAGCAACAATAATAAAAACTGCATGGTACTGGCATAGAAACAAAATGGCGGATCAATGGAATCAGATAGAAAACCCAGAAATAAACCCATACACTTATGGACACCTGATTTTTTACAAAGACGCCAAAACCATACAATGGAAAAAAGACAGCATCTTCAACAAATGGTGCTAGTCTAACTGGATGTCTACATGCAGAAAAATACAAATAGATCCATACTTATCACCCTGCACAAAACTAAAGTCCAAGTGGATCAAAGATCTCAACATAAAACCAGACACACTAAACCACTTAGAAGAAAAAGTGGGGAAGAGCCTTGAATTAATTGGCACAGGAGACAACTTCCTGAACAGAACACCAACAGCACAGGCTCTAAGAGCAACAATCAATAAATGGGACCTCATGAAACTGAAAAGCTTCTGTAAAGCAAAGGACACTGTCATAAAAACAAAACAACTACCTACAGATTGGAAAAGGATCTTCACCAACCCTATAACTGACAGAGAGCTAATATCCAGAATATATAAAGAACTGAAGAAGTTAAAAAGCAACAAATCAAGCAATCCGATTAAAACATGGGGTACAGAGCTAAACAGAGAATTCTCAGTAGAGGAATACAAAATGGCAGAGAAACACTTAAAGAAATGTTCAACGTCCTTAGTCATCAGGGAAATGAAAATCAAAACGACCCTGAGATTTCACCTTACTCCCATCAGAATGGCCAAGATGAAAAACTCACGTGACAGCACAGATTGGCTGGAGCCCCTTAGAAGACAGTTATGCTCTCAAGTTGGGACAGTCATTGGTTGGTCATTTCCTCACTCTCTGCTCCCTCTTTATACTTATATGTTCTGTAGGCAGGACAAACATGGGGTCAAAAGGGTGGGTTGATGTTCCCCTTCCTCCACTAGAAGTTCTTGCCTACAGGAGGTGACCACTTCAGGCTCCATTCCCCCACTGCTAAGGGTCTCAGCTTGGGTCACTCC